GGAGCCTTAGAAGTTGTATCCTGAAGATTATCTACATTTTCTAATCTTGCAGAATGCTATAAAATTAGAGAAAAAGAGTATACATTTTTCCTGGTATAGAATTTTTTTTAAGAATCCCTTTTATATCTCCTTAGAAGTGTTCGCAAAATAAAAGAGAACAAATATTTATAAAGCCTCAAAGAACATCCTTACAAATGTAATAGACTATTCATTTGTTTTTGTTTGCAGATAAGATTAAGTCTTAATGCATATGTGCACAGTATCCATTAAGAGATACTGTGAATATACACAAAACCTGGAGCTATTTTCTCGAAAATGTTTTCAAATAAGACTATTTAATACCTATATAAAACAAAAGAAAATTCTACTTTGAACTCATTTACTACTTTTAATCCAATTCTGTGGATTTACCAATAAATCAATGGCTGCTTCTTTATGAATCATCATGTTATACACCAGAAACTGATACTGTTGTAATTAGCTAGTTATTAATAATGAGAAAGGAGTAAAGGGACAGCCAGACATTCTAGGCTTGTCATTTGGGCAGCTTCACCAGGAAACAGCAACTTTACACTCCCCAGGAAACCACTGGCCCTTTCTCTGCAAATCACTGTGGGAAGATCAAAGGGGAGATAGACTCATGCACAAGGGAGTTGGGTGACATAGGGAAGGTACTTGCCTGTCAATCTAGCCTGGGGAACCATGGCTTGGCCAAGAGGGGTATGGCCACAGCAAACATGTAAAAATTTGAGAATACATAATTCCCTAAATAAAGAAATTCACTTTCACTTTTTGCTCTCCTTGGCTCATGGGGTTCTCTCATTTCTGCTTCTTTGCATTCACTCTTATGACCCATGGCCATGTGGACCCCACATGCAATGGGCTGATGGATTGTAATGGGAAACAAACTAACCTAGCCTTATGATGTATTGGACTGTTCCAATACGGCATGGAAACTCTGTACACTGGTTCTAATTCTAGCCTTATTAAACACATACTGCACTTCTTTTATAGTGGAATTGAGGGAGAAGGGACTTTGGAAACTCAAGGATTTATTTCCACAAATGTAAAAATCACTAATTTTTCTGTGCGAGTCTCAGACAATTCTTTTTCTTGGGATATAGCAAGAATTCCACGCCCACTAACAACAGGTGGGAATGAGGACCTTTCCCCACCAGTAACAGATGGTGACACAGATGGGACCCTACTGGGAGAATCAACTTATAGAAAGTGTGGAAAGTATCCCTTCCCTGCTCCTTCCCTACAAAAGCAAGCTGGTAGCCTCCAAACTAGCACTTGGATGGCGAAACAGCAGGAAAGGAGAAGCTGGCCTGAATTGTACTGAGAAATCTCTTTTCCTAGCCTGGGAGTTTTAGAATTTATTTCTCACACTATCTCTTGTATTGATGCTTATTTGGATTTTTCACTTCTTTTCTCTGCCCTACATCACTTCTGTTACTTCAGATGTAGATCTAGGAGAAAGCAGCACCCTACTCCTAGCACCGAAGTTGCAGCAGGCTCCAGAAAATGCTGGGCAAGCGCACAATTGTGATGTTGCCATGGAGTTTGTACCTATTGCCCAAATTCTCTTCCCAGTTTACAAAACTCCTCTCTACCCACCTCTCTGCATTTTGCCTGCATTTGTACAGTTTACCTTCTCTCTGTTTCCAACCCATGCAACTCAGAAGGCAGCTTGGAAACACCGTTTTCTAGCCAGCTTGGTCCCCACACTGAGGGCCTTCGCAGGGCAATGGACAGATGGGTGCCAGGGAAACACAGAATGCAGGGAGTGGGTGGGCACTTGCTGTTGCCATGGAATTTGCTCTTGGTATGCAAAATGTGAAGCACCTCAAGCTTGCTTAAGCCCCAGGAGGGGCCGGCAGTCCTGTGCCCTTAGCTGGGCTTGAAGCCCAGCATGGTCTAGCCAAATATCACCCTCACTTCCCTTTACCTCCTGTCTCCCCTTTGCTCCTGCCTTGACAGTATGCCTGCCTCAGCAGGGTGCAGCTTGAATTCCTCATAATTAAGGTGCTGAGGGGGATGGGGTACAGAGACAGTCACCAGCTGGAGGTGCTACCTCTCAAAGACCCAGTGTTCTACCTCCTGGCTCCCACTGTGAGTTCTTCAGCCAAAGCTCACCCAGGATCTTATGGGTTGTTGGTTCTGATTCGTGCCTGGAGCTGGGCACCAGGTGGGGAGGAAGTGGTAGAGAAAGCCTGGATGCAATGAAAGCTGCCCCCCCCCCCCATAAAACTGCTGCCAGGTCCCGCCCCTGGCAAGCAAGAACTGCTATCTGCCTGGTCCTGCGCTCTCCCCTGCTCACTGCTATGGTGCGGGGATCATACCACCGTTATGCCAGAGAGCACTGCCCTGGCAATCATGTTGCTTGAGTGTAAAAATACATTTATTTTCAGTTGCAAAAACGCAACTGCTATGTTTCTGACTCTTGTAAACATTGCTACTTGTCATTAATGCTTCTTCCACAGGTATAACAAATACAGAAAAGCCTCACATATATAGTTGCTCAGAGAAATAAAAGGTTTTTATTAACTAAATTCACTCTCTTTTTGCTCTCCTGGCTCTTGGCTCATGAGGTTCTCTCATTCCTGCTTTCTTTCATTCACCCTTACGATGCATGGCCATGCAGATTACCACATGCAGTGGACTGATGCACCGCAACGGGAAACACAAACTAATCTAGCCTGATGATGTATTGGACTGTTTCAATATGGAGCAGAAACTCTGGACACTGACTCCAACTTTAGTCCAATTAAAGTCACAGCTACATACACTTCTTTTATTGTGGGACTGAGGGAAAGGGCATTTTGGAAACTCAAGAAACTGAGGCATTGAGAGATTAAATAACTTGCCCAGGGTCAATGAGCTTGCTAATCAGGGGCAGAGCTAGAGTGGAGCACCCTGACTCTAAGTTGCCTCATTTTCCTTTGGTTACTTTTTTTATATGTAACAGACTAGCTTTTAACTCTAGCTTTGAAGCAAAAAATAAAACGTTAAAGGTGATGTATTTTAAGTTGTTTCAAACATAAGCAGAAATATTCAAGGCAAGGTCAAGTGAAGTCTGTGGTAAAGAAAGAAAGGGACATTGTGGCTAATTCATGCCCACAGGCATTATTACTCTCCTACAGATAAAAGTCAAATCTTAATAAAAAAAAAATTAACTCCAGAGTTTTGACAAGCAAGTAGCAGAAGTTGACCTCATTTCTCTCTCATGTACCATTTTAATGTTTGCAGAAGAGAATTGGTACTCTCACAAAGGAGAAGTAAAAGTGGATAATTAACAAACTCCTCAGTAATTAGAGGAGTACTCAAAGCTAGAGAAACCACTGCAGGAAGGGTGATGTATCCATGTGTGCTGAACATGAGTTTTTACTTCCTGTAGGTGAAGTTAATAAGAAGAAAATGTGCCCTCGCCAGTTTCGCTCAGTAGTTAGAGCACTGGTTTACAGACCGAGGGGTCACGGGTTTGATTCCCAGTCAAGGGCATGTACTGGGGTTGTGTGTTTGATCCCTGGCCCTGGTCTGGGTCATGTGGGAAGCAGCCAATCGATGTGTCTCTCTCACATCAATGTTTCTCTCTCTCTATCTCTCCCTCCCTCCCTTACACTATCTAAAACTCAATGGAAAAATATCCTCAGGTGAGGATTAAAAAAAAAAAAAAAAAGGAGGAAAATGTATACCAATGTGATGTTCCTCATTTGCATGCCCTGTCATACAATATACAAAATAAATAATTTTGGTATAGAGAAATTAAACAGGCAGGCACCGTAGGGTATTTTATATTTCAGAAATACAGTTGAAGAGCGAATGCCATGTAAATGTATCTAAAGTAAGGGATGTATCAAATGTCTGTTATCATCATCAGACATAAAATACTCCAAACATACAATTGACTTGACTTGCCAGCAGCATGGTGTTATGAGCCTGAACTAGGATTTGCAATAGAGAAAGGTTATTAGACACATAGACATGGAAGAATATTGGGTTCTAAATGCAATGGAAATTAAAAAGAAGTGTCAGTATCACTAACATGGCTTAATAATTAAACTGTATCAATGTCCCTCTTAAGAAGAGTTTGTAATTTGGAAGCTATAGCTACTATTGACCTGATTTTACAATTGTGATTATGTCTACATCTTAATTTGAAAATAAAATTGATCACTGTGTCCTGTAAACAAGGCTTGTCAAGTTATTACTTTGCAACTGCTTTGCAAACACATATTTATTTAAGAGCAGCATGATTTATGATATAGTGTACCAGAGAAATTATTTCACTTCATATTTCATATTTTAGTTTCTTTTAAGATATATATCAAAATGGAATTCTTCAAGTTCTTCAATAAATATTGAATTTATTTGATAACAGTTTTTAAGAGATTAAAGAGTTTATATCTTTACTCCAATATATTGACTTCTTGCCACAAATACTGCTTTGAAATTTATAAAGTGTTCATTCCTCTTATGTCTTCAAAAATCATTATAATGCTCAGTTATTTTTAAACAGTATTCTATATTATGGTACCCTAATATTACCAGACAAAGCTTGTAATTAGAAGGTTTATATAATGTGCATATTTTACATAAATTGTTTCCTTAATCACTGTCATATGATGACAGAATAAAATCAATACTAAAAGGTGATATTTGTTTTATAGCCATTTCAAATTTTCTAAGACTGATCCATCTAGTTCATAATTTTGATTTCTTATAGGCTTTCTCAATACTATAACCTTTAAATTAAATTGAATCCAAATGAAAAATAAAAACATCTTCATACTACTTAGAAGTACAAAAAACTGTTACAAGTTATCTTCTCTTGCTATTTCATTATATTGTACTCACAAAAGTGGATTTAGGATCAAAGAAATGTTCATTTTCCTCCTTAATAGACTGCAATTGCTTAAGGATAACTCTGGTGGTGAATTCTAGGCCGGAATCTAATGAAACTCTATTTTGATAGGTAAATTTAGCAGTGGTCCTACCTTTTTCACCTTCTTTTTCTTCTTGGTCATCTGTTAATGGAATCACTTCTGGTTGCTCCGCAATCATGGCATCTTCTTGGTTTGACGCAAGCTCTAATAGAATGAGACAGAAGGATACTCAATGATGTTTTAGTCAAAATCATTGACAAAACACAGTTACTAAAGCATAGAAAGTTAAAGTTCTCCCCCACCTCCCTTTCAAGTTTTAACAGGCATATAAAGCAGAACACTATTGCCATTCTCTATAAATCATTGCCTAAAACACACACACACACCACTCACACACAAGTATATACAGGGGGCATGGTTCACAGTCTCATCTCATTCTCTGGTAAAAATATATACTGGTTTCAATACCCGCTGTTTCCATGTATGAATTCTGTGATTCTGCCTCGATTTTTATTTCATTCTTCACTGAATCGCTCTCTTGTCCTGTTAAAAAGAGTAATTGAAAAACAACAGAAATGTGATATGCGTGACCATAGCTTTATCCCTGGTTTGAAAAAGCAAAAATTTCAGAAACTATGCTTTGATCATGCATGGAGAGGTAGAAAACAGTTTTGAATGAAAGCAGAAGGTGAAGATATTATTTTAAAAATCATCACATGTATCTCAACTATTTTATAAGAAATATTCAAGTAATTTATTTATTTATTTATTCCCTTCTTGATTATAGAGAGAGAGGAAGTGAGAGAGAGAGAAAGAGAGAGAGAGATATAGAAACATTGATGAGAGAGAACATTGATTGACAACCTCCTTGCATGCTCCCCACTGGGGATCAGGCCCACAATCTGGCATGTGTCCTGACCCGAAATTGAACCGGCGACCTCTTGGTGCATGGGTCAATGCTCAACCACTGAGCCACACTGGTTGGAGTATCCAGGTAATTTAGACAAAAACTCTTCTTTGAGCTGATGGGTATAAAGTATTTGGCTTATGAATGTACTAACAGCAATGAACACAACTTGGTTTTGAAATTTTAAATAACTTCTGGCTGCATGACTTAATTACATTTAATTTTTCCTTTCAGATATAGATATTACCTGTGTTGAGGATTCCTGAAAATTAAAACACTACTTGCATTTTCATTCTTCCATATACAGAACATGACCGTTTGCGTAATGTGAGCACACACACATTGGGTCACCTCACAGCCAACTGTTCTCTAATGGCACCTCCTAAATACAGCGAAGGCCAGCCAGCTCTTAGCTACTCTGAGGCTGATTATCTGGTAATGGTTTTCTTCCACCTCCTTGGCTTCTCCCCCTCCACCTCTCTGTAGAGTTTAGAACACATAAGTGATTATTAAGAGAGGAAATTAAAATCTGTCCATTTTGCCTTGTATTAATAAAATATTTTATGCCGAGGACATTTTACTGTTGAATTAAAAAAAAAAATTCCAGAGCTAGGGTTGATTATAAGTATGAAGGGGATACTGAGGGGCTTGGGCTTTTTGCCTGGTACATTCTTGTGGTAGATGACACTATTGTTCCAACTTGTCCCTACTTCTTTTTTTTTTTTTTCCTAAAAAAATTTTATTTATTTATTTATTTAAGTTAATTAATTAATTTATTTTTGTTAAAGATGCACCTCCCCCCCCCCCCCACTGATACCCTCCTCCCTCCCTGCCCTGTCCCCAGCTTTGTTGTCCATTGTTCATGCACACATGCATATAACTTCTGTGGTTTATCTCTCCCCCCCAACCCTCTCTTCTGGGGATTGTCAGTCTTTACCCCACTTCCACATCTCTGGGACTACTTCTTTTTGTAACAGGATACAATTTCTCTGTGAGCATGTGACATGCAGCAGCCTCTGAGCGACACGTATATCTTCCCAGTTCACTGATGCCAGGCCTATTTGTGTGACTTGGTTTAGAAAACGCGCAGTATCAGACAGGATGAGTGCTACATTTATTTATTTATTTTTGTTTTATCCTCACCCGAGGACATTTTTCCATTTTTTGTTCAGGTAGAGTGGGAGGGAGAGAGAGGAACAGAGAGAGAGAGAGAGAAACATCGATGCGAAAGGAACACATCGAGTGGCTGCCACCCACACAACCGACCAGGGCCGGGGACAAACCGCAACAGAGGCACGCGCCCCCAGCGGGAACCGAACCAGGGTCTCTCAGGACCGCAGGCCGACGCTCTAACCGCTGAGCCAAACCGGCCAGGGTGGATGAGTGCTACATTTAAAAGGAAGCTTCAAGACCCATTGTGTGTTTCCTCCATCTCTCTCTCCTAAAAGTGTGCTCATTCATCCCATCCCAGATTCTAGAATAAAAACATGTGAAGCAGAATCAAGCGCTGACCTGACAAACCTTTGTTGTTGTAAGCTATTGGGACTTGTGGGGTTTTTGTTACTAAAGCACAGCTGACTTACACAATCTCTCATCTTTATAGCTTCCTCTTTAAAACAACTATTCTTAATCTGCCCACTATAATACTTCCTCTTGGCTCATTCTCTGCTAGAATGACCAACTCTGAAAACTTTTTTTTTTTTTAAAGTGGTTTTTTGACATCCATTCCTCTTGAGCTCAGTTTTAATCTAAAGGATCTGATTTTTAAAAATTACAACTACAGGTAATGTAGTAATATTTCATCATTGAAGCTAAAAACCTCAAGCTGCCTTTGATGTTCTTCTCTCATCACTTCTAAAATTCAAGGAAATGCCAAGATTTGATGATTCTGAAAAATGCTTATTTTTTTCATGCCTAGTCCCGTTTCTTCATTCAGGGATATATTATCTCTCTCTTGGATCTATCATTTTTTCTCCTATAATCTATCTTATAAATTGCTAGTAGTAATATCTTTAAAAATATAGATTTGATCAAGACCCTTCCCCGGCTGATAAAACCCTTCATCCCCACTTCTCCCTAGTGCCATTCAAAGTACAGTCCATGGACAAGCAACGTTGACATTTCCTGGGAGCTTTTCAAACACAGAAGATTTCAGGCCCCATCTCAGATCTACAGAATGAGAGTGTATATTTTAACAACATTTCTAGTTGTTCTGTTTGTACATTAAATCATAAGGAGCACTAGCCTAGAAAATACATTTGCAAGTTATTGATTCCGTATAAATGCCAGACTTTGCCTAACCATTTTATACACATTTTCTCTAATCATTGTATTAGCTCTGTAAAGTAACTATGATGATCCCCATTCTGCTTTCAAAATTCTTAACTAGGTTTATCTGACTACTAATTCCCTTTTTCCTGGAAATGCTTTTATTTTGCCTTTTAATTTTTAGAAGTGAAGTATAGCTTACATATAGTAAAACATTCAAGTCTTAAGAACACAGGTTTTTAAATATACAGCAGTGCATGACCCTGTACAGTCACCACCCAGATCAAGAACATTTCTGGCCTTAGCTGTTTTGGCTCAGTGGTCAGAGCGTCCTCCTGAGGACTGAAGTGTTGCGAGTTTCTGGTCAAGGGCACATCCCTGGTCTGATCCCTGGTCAGGGTCGTGCAGGAGGCAAACAAAAAAAAAGAACATCACTCACACCAGTGGCTCTGTTCCCTCTGCAGGTACCTGCTGATACCAGCCTCCCACAGGTAACAGCTTTGCTTTTGAATTTCATATAAACGGAACATACAGTGTATGGTCTTTTGTATCTTACTGTTTACACATTTTCTGTGATACTAACCTCAGTTGCTGCATTCATCAATTCATTATTTTTCATTGATATATACTATTCCACTGTTTGATTACAGTATATAATGGTATATAGATGTTAAATTATTTTCAGTTTGGGGCTATTACGAATAATACTGCTAAAAATTATTGCACATGTCATTTGGTGGGCATATGTATATATATGCCTTGGGTATAAATCCACTGCTACAGAACAGGCAACATACACACGGTTAGCTTTACTAGACCCTACAAAACCATGCTTTAAAGAGTTTTACACTCACATCTGAAATGTATGTGAATTCCATTTGTTCTTTTTATTTTTTACTGTCATGACACTAGTCACAGAATTCTTTAATATGGAGAAGAAAGCCTTCAAAAATCTTTTTCTAGACCCATTTCCACCCTTCTCAACTTTGGGTGGCAAATAAAGTGATCATAAATTTGCTTATTAAATTTATTTGCTCATTCATCTATTCATTATAGTCCTTATTACACTATAATTTAGTTGTGACTACATTTGTCTCTCTTACCCAGTCATGAGCATTGTGAAAATAGAAATTGTATTTTATTCATATTTTTCCCAGCACCTACTGATGAGGAGTGATCACTAAATAACTATTTAACATGCCCTCTATTATAGTACTCATCAGTGTCTGTAAATAGTAATCAGTGACTGTAACTTACTTCCTATCACACCCTTTAGCAATAAGTGCCTTAGGCTACTAAGCTCTTCATATACTGTATTTATTGCGAAGAAACCTGGAAGGACAACTGGAAACTCTTTGGGCTTACTTTCATTATTATTTTTTTAAGGGTTAAATGAAAAAACCACACTAGATAATAGCTTAGGTTCTCTCTATTTTTTGGCTGTATCTCCTGATAAAGTATTTAGTCACACTGACATTTACTTATTAGGTAGATGATATTGAGAGGGAACCTTCACTGTTTACTGAGAGAGCCTCATTCTCTATCACTGTGGATATGAGGAACTTTCAAGGCCATTGCTGGGACCTGAACTGTTACTTGTAATCTGTAAACAAAGAGAGAGTAGAAGCAGCCCCTCTGTATTCTTGAGTGTATCCAGTCCCAGTGTTCCACCTGATACATTTTTAGAGGAATGCTATCAGGATTAGGAAGATCACAGTTTAACAGGGCCCGGGGCACTGCTGATATGGTTGGAGTGCCCCAGGGAAACCTATGGCTGTTGAATACTGGGTTTTTTTTCTGTGACTAGCAAGGTTCAGCCTTCACTTTGTGGGTGAGAGGCCATTGCAAAGCTTGTGTGAAGTATTTCTCTCCCCTGCCTTTTTCATTTGTCCCATTCTTGATCTGTTTCACCCATGTGTTTACATATTTCAGCAATCTTTGCTTGCAATGCAAAAATATGTTTTCTTTTTTCTAAGTTTTCTGAAAGAAAGTTAGTAAAAAATAGGAGGAAAAATGAGGTGTATGGCTTTTAAATCCGGGAATAATCACATTTGCTTATTCCTGAACCAAGCCAAGATTTGGTATACTACACAGAGGAAGCGTGTGTTCCTTGCCCCACACACAGGCCTGGCGTGTGTTAATGATGACTCCACCCCATCTGCCTTTCTCTCCATTGCACTCAGACATTCCTCATTCCATCTTGCTTCCTTGACCCCGTGGGGGCAGGCTTTATCTTGGCCTCTCCACGTTCAGTCTAGTTGAATTCTACCCACTGTCCTTTGCCCTAATCCCTAATGGCAGAAAGAACAAAAGAACATAAAGGATTTCATAGTTTATATGTATATTTTTTATACAATGAATTCAATCA